CTTTGGGTTTGAGACTTTAGTCTTTGCAACTTTAGAGATCTTATCTATTCACGAACAGCTTGTAACACTCCAAAGAGAAAGGAAAACTTGAAATCACATCATATGACCACTTTAAAACTAAACTAAACTAGTTTAAACTATACTAGAGGTTGATTTTGAATGGCGGTGGTGTTTCATGTGTGAATGTATGGCAAACTAAACTAGTTTAAACTAAACTAGAGGTTGATTTTGAATGGCGGTGGTGTTTCATGTGTGAATGTATGGCAGACTGCAGTTGAACGTTGTTCCCAGCAGATGGCTGCAGGACACACCGCTCATCTTCACCCCTCTCTCTCTCTCTCTGCCAGCGCTGAGCTCTCGCTTTCAGGCTGCTGTGCTTTATCTGGGTCATGTGACGGTAAGATTACGTCGTAACACAGGTTTGGCTTAGTGAAAACATAAATAACACTCACTAATAACACATGGATGCAGCCAAGAGAAATGATCTCAGACTGCACTGCCTTTTTGTGTCAACATTACAGCTCTCATTCTAACCTATCGATGTTAGGTTAGAAACATCGACTGAACGGAAGCTCAAACGTGCAGGAACCAATGAGGTTGCACTTCTGTTTACAATATTTGATTTTCTTTATGTATATTCATTGATTATTGTTTATAGGTCAACAAAAGCCTAAATTAAGTGACTGTGTCTCTTCAAGAGACTTAACCATTCAACAAAACAGGTTATTTCTACTTACCTTGCAGGTCAAGGGTCAGCGGGGCAGGAGCAGTCTCGCACATGAGAGTTAGCCGTGTCACCTGAACATTGGGAGCACTGGGATCTGCTAAATGAACAAAACAAATAAGCACATAAGGAAAGCCATAGACTGACATCAGAATATCCAAATTCATTTTGGTAAATGGGGGGGAATTCACCACTTAGGTGACTATTATAGAGAAGATTAATGAATTTAAAATGATTCCTCCGTGTCGATTAGTTTGTTCGTCCACCACATATTGTAGTGAATACATTTTGTTGATTGCCTGACAATTATAGTGAGACCATTACAAGTTCATGAGGAATGTCTGACGATGACTTCCAGAAACACGTTTTGTTTGTTTGAGCAGCTCAGCTTATGGCTCCACTAATGCTGAGAGATCTATTTGTTCTGTCGGTCGATAAAAGAGCATGGAGAACAGGTGTATGGGGGAGACATGTTTAAAAACTCATTTGTGCAAATCCGTTAGATGTCGCTTGTTCTATAAGCAGCAACTCATGTCAACTTTATTATTTTGTTTCAGAGTACGGCCAGCAGTCCCATCACTGACGTCCATATGTTAACAACGCAGGCACTGTGGAAGCACTACTGACGCTTATTGTAGCCCATCCATCATCCGCGCTGACGTCTCTGTGGGAGCTGCTTCATTCGCTCTACGTGAAATAATGAGATTGATGCGGGTGATTAAACGCCTGTCTCACGACGCTCGTTCAAACATCTCTTCAGGTGATGAGATGAACCATAACAGGCAGGGTTATTGTAATGGCTGACTGCTGATAAAAACAAAAATGAGCAGGAACTGTAGATATGCAACCTCGTTTTAGAGCACTCTTGTGAGGGTGCTGGCAGACGATGCACAAGGACAGCAGCCGGAGGCCTGAGGCCCCTTCTGAGCAGTAGCCCCTCACTGCAGAACCCAAGATCCAGGGGGCGTGGTTGGATCCACATCTAGGGGGTGGAGATGGGTGGGTTTAGGGGTGGAGATGGGTAGGTTTAGGGGTGGGGTTTAGGGGCGGAGACGGGGTGGAGACGGGTAGGTTTAGGGGTGAAGACGGGTGGGTTTAGGGGTGGGGTTTAGGGGTGGATTTGGGTGGGTTTAGGGGCGGAGACGGGGGGGTTTAGGGGCGCCATGCTGAATAAAAGCATTAATTTCTTTCCAACAAAAATGTCTTATTTTATATTTTTGGCACTAAATCTAATATTATTAAAAAATTAGTTAATTGCTGAATTCATATTTGGTTATGTCCCTTTAGGAGCCGCTGCTACATGCATGCGTGTGTTACCCTGAAAGGGCCCTTTAAGTCATCAAGCAGAGAAATTCCACTTAGCTGCAAACAGCGTAACAATTTCTATAAATCCAACCACTTGTTTCAAACAAAGAGTAAAGATCTGCCAGCTAATCTTACGAACAGCCGTAATGAGGACCACATATGAACAAGCACACGAGATACGAACCGAGAGCCAGTACAACAAAACTAAAACCCAAAGCATATGGTGTCCTGGAACAGCCTGTAGGTCGTGTATATCGAAGACAGATGTGGTTTGCGTAACACTTCAGGAGACTCCTAAAAACCTCTTTCAGCAGATTGCAGTGCTGGTGAACGAGCTCGTCTCATGAAAACCCACAGAGTAGTTTTCTGTGCTAGCCCTTATCATTAACATGACTATAAACTAGAAAATGACACAATGTAATCAATAAAAGAGCCTAACATTCCAGCGAGTCATCCTGGCATTGCGAAAGCAGTCCTCTTATAGTTTTGGCAGGGGATGCTTTTGGCCACGGTCAGACAGGAACTCGGATAACACTGCATGTCTTTTTCCATTCTGGGCCTCTGCGCTCCCCTGACAGCGAGAGAGGCCGTTCTTCATCAGCGAGCTCTGGCACACTGCTCCAGCGGCTGGGGTTTGAAGCTCAGGATCAGAAGCGTGACAGACACTCATGATGGGTTGCCATGTTTCTATTAGCATTAAACCAGGCATGTCCAATCCTGCTCCTGGAGGCCACCTTACTGCAGAGTCTAGATTCAACCTATCTGACGAGAAGTTTCGAACCGATGCGAAAAACACCGAAAGACTTAAGGCCTTTATTGAGACCTGCACACATAAAATGAATACCACATGAGCACGGTAATGTCTATGGTCACATATTAAACTGTAAAATGACTGCAAAAAGGTTCAGATACAGGTTTTCACAAAAACAAAAATAGTTTTATAAAACAAACTTCACAAAATATCAATTATGTTAATTTAAACTATTATTAGCAATCAATTATTATATTATTTAAATAACCAATATATTTTTACGGTCTTAATTGCTTGAGTTTTTATATGAGCAATATCACTCTCGTACTCGAGTGATACCGGCTCTATATCAGCGGCTGTGATTAGGCCAGAGGCCCAAAGGAGGTAATCACAGCCGCTGATATAGAGCCGGTATCGCTCGAGTACGAGAGCGACACCGGCTCGTGCCTCTGGCCTAATCACAGCCGCTGATATAGAGCCGGTATCGCTCGAGTACGAGAGCGACACCGGCTCGTGCCTCTGGCCTAATGCGCTTTGGGAACGGCAGAAATACAGCGGTTTACAACGGAAATATAGCTGGGACTTTGCAGTGCTCATGTTTATTTAATTAAATCAGAGCCTTTTGAAGTTTAAAGGGTTACTCCACCCCAAAATAAAAATTGTCATTAATCGTAAAAGCTTCGTTTGTCTTCGGAACACAATTTAAGATATTTTGAATGAAAACCGGGAGGCTTGTGACTGTCTATTCAATTGTTGAATAAAGTCGCTATTTTTGTTTTCTTTGCGTACAAAAAGTATTCTCGTAGCCTCATAAAATTCAGATTGAACCACTGATGGCAGATGGACTACTTTGAAGACATCTTTCATACTTTTCTGGGCCTTGACAATGTTATTTACTTGGCAGTCAATGGGACAGCCTTTCGTCCAAAATATCTTAAATTGTAATCCGAAGACGAACGAAGCTTTTACGGGTTTGGAACGACATGGGGGTAAGTGATTTTCATTTTGGGGTGGAGTAACCCTTTAATCGTCACTTTCATCCAAATCGCAATTCTTGTCTTTCCGTCCCCATAATTAAGGCTTTCTTGCACCATTTAAGAACTTTTATGGCCTTAAATTTTATACAACTAAATTTAAGACTTTTTAAGGACCCGCAGAAACCTTGCAAAAGTGGGTATGTTCAAGAGGACATATGGAAACCTGCTTTTATTGATGTCTGGAAATACATTTCAAGAACTTGAGCTTGATGTAGGGTTGTAAATGTTTTAGGGCTGAATAATATCCATGTTGATAATAGATTTAACAATCTTAAATTTTATTCATTTACTTTTAATAAAACAAAAATAAGACTATTTCTTGTCTTTCCCAATGTTCTCATCAAAGCAATGTGTAAATTGTGCTATAAATTGTGCTAAAGCATTACAACATTATAAAAATAAAATTGCAGCTAATGTTTGAGAACAGCCTGGAAGCAGCAATTAAAAAATAAAAACAAACAAAGCTAATTATATTAGTAGTAACATGTTAAAGCATTCAAATCAAAGACGATAGCTAAAACGATGTATTAATCATTGTAATTCTATGTGAACAGGGACATCCACAACACAACTCTAATGATAAAGACAAAGGAACGATATTGTGGGAATCACTTTCTTGACATTGACAGCCAATCAGAATCCATCCTGCTATAAAGAGCTCGAGAATTTAAAGCGGCAGATGACAAAACTGCAGCACGCACTTCAAATAAACAGTGCGTTATTGTGTGTTGGTGTGGACACTGGTATAGTTAACGTTATGTTATAGTTATCTTTACAGTGTGAACGGGCCTTTATCGTCATTTATTTTTGTATTAGAAGATACGTTTACAGGACAACAATGTTCTGAAGATGGAATGGTTTTTCCTGTGTGTTTTTGAAAAGTTTCGCACACAGATGACAACGTTATCAAAACATTCCCCATTCACACGGATCTACGAAAATGACTAAAACGTTGAATTACGCATGAAAGGCCAGTAGGTGACGATGTCACTTTGTAACAAAACACTACGTGTCTACGCACATACGAATTCGTACAGACTGAACACATAATATGCATGTGTATGAATGAAAAATTAACGTTTTTGTAGTTTACACAGAGACGAAAACAATATAATTTCCCAAAAACGAGCACCCGTTTGCGTTTTCAGACCCCCAAAACACCATTGTTGTGTAAATTAATGTTGTGTAAATTAACGACCAATAATAATAACAATAATTACCTTTTATTTGCGTTTTCAGACCCCCAAAACACCATTGTTGTGTAAATTAACGACCAATAATAATAACAATAATTACCTTTTTAGTTGAAAATGGTGTCGTGTAAATGGCCCTAGAGCCTTATCGGAATCTTTGTATTAGAATCAATTTGTAAAGAATGCAAAAGTTTTATTAAGCACCCTAAAATCTAATATCTAACAACTAGTGTTTTAATATATCCCTCAGAATTACTTCACAATCAATTTTCTGTTGAGCTGCATCTGGTTGCAAGATATTTGGACATTAACATTTACAATTTATAGATTCATCGATCGCAATTTTAAATGACAAATAAGTTTTAATGAAAACTGACCTCTCTAGTCAAGAGGCTAAACTGGCTGAGGGAAGCAGAATAGAAAACCAGCATGTCCCCTCTGGAGCTGGCAAAAGTTAATTAAGACTGACGAAGTACAATCCGTTTCTGCTGAAGAATCAGGAAAACAAGGTCCTGCAGCAAGTGCAGTCCATCAAACCGCATTCATGCCCAGATTACATCACTTTAGCTGCCAGAGTAAACCAGTACAAACACCATTAGCCATTTGGCAGTCGTCTCAATGTTAATACTCACTAGGGAGCGCAGGGTAATTTCACACAGCTGAGCGCGATGGACTAGCCATTTAACATGGTTGTAACAATTATTCCCTAAACATGGGCAGCAGGTACATATAACCTACGGTCATTGAAAACAAGGCAGAGCGAGCGGTCACGACCAGTTTACACGCTCAACGGTGGAAACAGCTTGAACTTGACATTGGCACCACCCACTTCTTCATTTAGTTCTGTCCGGCTGAGCTAAATTCACTCTAATTAGGGATTATCCAGAACTAATATC